TTTTCAGATGATTTTTCTTTTGAGCCTGACGAACTGATCGCAGTGGCAAAACAAATGAAGGGGAAAGCTGCGGGACCGGACTCCTGGAAGTCTGACCATCTCCTTGAATTACCCATGCCCTGGTGGGTTCACTTCACTCGCCTCTGGAACACCATCTTGCAAGGAGCCCAGACGCCCATGCAGTGGCGCCGTGGCCTCGTGGCACTCTTGCCCAAAAAGGTGACGGCCACGCGCCCAATCGGGCTTCTCCAGGTCGCGTGGAGAATCGGCGCCAAGTGTCTTTGCAAACGCTTGAGAAACTGGATCCTGTCCTGGGTCAGCCCAAGTGCATTTGGTGGGGCGCCGGGTTTCTCTACTGCAGACGCACACTTAAGAATTGCTTCAGCCCTAAAAAGGCAAGTGCATTCTTTTGTAGTACAAGATTTAAAAGGCTTTTTTGATCACCTTAAACTCGACGCCGTAATCCCGATTCTCAGACGGCTCGGCGCGCCCAGATGCCTGGAACACATCTTGGATAGCGTTTATTCGGGTGCCGAACGGCTCTTCGTTGCAGGCGGGTTTGCGGCCAAAGCCTGGACTCCTGTCACCCGAGGCTTGGTTCAGGGCGACCCGCTAAGTCCACTTTTGGCCCTGACAGTCAGCGTGGCTTGGAGCTCCTACGTCATCCAAGGCCCGATACGAGGCCTGATGTATGTGGACGACAGGCTTTTATGGCCGGAGCAATGTGCCAATCCCGCCCGAGCCATCCGGCAGGAGGTGGAACGCTCCACCCAGTTCGACGAAGCCTTTCACTTGGTGTGTGAACCCACGAAGTGTGCAGTCATCGCCGCCCCTGGAGACTCTTCTCTTGAGGACCTGGCGGCTCAGAAGGGATACATGCAGAAAACTTCGCTTGAAATTTTGGGCATCGAAATCGACCTGTCGGGAAGCACCCCCAAGCCGCTCAGGTTGGTACTTGACCGAGTGCTGTGGCGCCTTCGCTTCATCAAGTACCTCCCCGTGCCCATTCACCGAAAAACTCAACTAATGTGGACTCTGGGGTTCTCCGCTGTCTTTTGGTGTGCTGGAGTTGCCTCCCCGGGCAATGCCGTTCTCTCCACCATCAGGTCCGAGGTCCTTGCTGCTTTTCGAAGAAGCTTCACTCCCGAGGTGCCGTACTTCTTGCAACACTGCATGATGGGGTGGAACACCGATCCCTTTTTCATGCAGGACTACACAGCCCTTCGCCGTGTGGAATCCTTCGTCGCTAAACGGCCGTCTTGGCTTGATGACGTGCCCCTCAGGGAGGCCGTCGATCCATGGTCGGACCTGTTTCCGGTGGCGGCCGAGGCGGTCCGCAAACACAAGTGGACCATCCTTCCCCATGGTGAAGGTCTTGCCAAAACCGACAGCAACGGGTGCCGCCGAGTCTTTCGCTTTGGGCTTTCTTCCTTGAAGGTCCTGCACCAGTGGTTGGAGGAGGAGTACGTGCGACAAGGCGTGCATAGTGCCGGTCGCATTAAAACTTCACACCACAGGGTTGACCCCAATGCCGCTTCGGGTTTGGTTTTGTTTTGCTGCGCATAGGAAAATCTTTCTTAACCCTGAAAATCTTGCGCAAAAACGTGCCGCAGTTGCAGCTGGAGCCAGTTTCTGGCACACACACTGCGGGTCCCACCGCCCAGCACCGACTGATGCAGACAAACTGTGCATATGTGATAAGCTTGAACCGTCGAGAGCGCACCTCACGTGGTGCTGCCCGGGTCTAAGTACACTGCGCGAGACCAACCTGGTCATTCCTCCGTCTGATCGTGCCTCTGAAAGGCTCTTCGCCCCTCCGCTTGAGACTTTCCCTGCCGCGCCTGAGCCAGTGCCCCTTCAGCGTGCACAACTTGCTGATGCTATTAGCAATCTCCTCGCGGCTGACTCGGAGGCTCAACCGTGCATCGCCACCGACGGCTCGTACTTCGAAGACGTGGCCAGCTCTGCCATTGTCCTTCATCAGGCAGGTCTTTTCTCGGCCTTTTTTTTGGAGACGACGACGAAGACCAGTCTAGTTACCGTGCTGAGCTTTTGGCCCTTCACGAGTTAGCCCAAACGTGCGTTGCCGCTGCTCTCAATGGGGCGCGTGGCGAAGTGTACGTCCTGGTGGACTGTCAGGCAGCACTCGTGGCTCTCAAGTCGCGGTCGTGCGCGACCCTTCAGCTGCTCGTGCAACAGACAGCCACACACCTTGCAAACTCCACCAGATGCGGCTTGAAACTGCATCTGCGATGGATGCCTGCACATGGGCGTCACGCCACTTGGAAGCCTGACTTTCCCTTGCCAGCTGACTTGTGCAGACTGCTCAACGACAAAGCCGATGCCGCTGCGCGTGATGTCATGCGCAGAAGGCACCACAACTCTGCACGTGCCACTTGGCATCGACGACGACGCGAAGCTCTGGAATGGAGCAAGCAGGCCATCAACCTCTCTGCGCAGGCGGGCGGGGCTTACAGCCCGTGGTGCGAGAAGCGACGCCTTGCAAGGCCCAAGAATGGGCAAAACGATGACGACGACGCAGCTGCTGATGGGGCGGCGGCTGCTGGGGCCGCTTCTTCGGGCGCGGTGGCTGCTGGCGCGGTGGCTGCTGACTCGGTGGCTGCTGGAGCGGTGGCTGCCGGCGAGGTGAACTGAGTGCGACCACGAGCTCCTCTGAAAACACTGTGTACAGTCTGAGTGCTTGAGCCTGCTGGTAGTCTCGCTCTCTCTGTAGTGGTACTGGCTGTCTGCTTGTACTTCCGAAAGTGTAGTTCACGAACGCTTTGAAGCTTTCTCTAGCTTAACAAACCTAGCTAGAGTGATGTTGGCATGACATGTCTTTCAGTCTCATGTTCATGCCGACTTGTTTTGAGGTAGCTGTCTTCTCACGGCTTGTACAAACTGCGACTTAGTACCACTCGTCGGGCCCAAGGAGGTCTCGGGACACGAGGCTGACTCAGCCTGGCCAGTGACCAACCAAAGAGTTCAAAAAAAGAGTCCGCATGACAGAGCTTTGGCTTCAGCAAGTAGCTCCAAGCTCTCCAAAGCGGGCAACGCCAGGGTAGTGGCGGCTAAGAGTGCTGGCGGCCGGGAGGGATCCAGCCATGGCTCCTTCTTCAGGTGGCATGTCCACCTACGGTTATCACATAAGAGCGAAGTTACGGGCCATGGCGGCCCACCTTGATTGCTACAGCGGCCCGAGCCTACCTCTCGTGCCCTCTGGAGCCTCCAAGTTGAATGTCAGTCATGTCAGGGATCACCTTTCTGGTGTAAGTGGGGACATGCAAGCCATTCAAAGCTTGGTGGGCTTCATCGTGAACTACAGAGAGCGACGCCTGCGCCAGGCGGAAAGTGATCTTCGTTGCATGCAGGCTAGGGGTGTGATGCCTAGCATGCTTTGGTTCTGCGAGGGCTCCTTTGGCATTTTGCCAAAGTGGGCACAGGAGCCAGAAGATTACAATGAGCTGAAGCGGGAAGGCCTTGGCCGTCCCACGGGAGACGACGATCAATGCGACGACATTTGCAATAATGACATGGTGGAAGCAGTGCGAGGTCCGACAGCCGAGCAAGGCACTCCTGCTTCCCTTCTTGAGAACATTCCGAAAACACAGTGCGCGAGCGATGATTCAAGTGACACCTCGGAGCATGATTTTCTTTCTCTGCCGACTGTAATCATGCAATTTGGTTTGCCGGAGAATTTCCCTCTTGAGGAATCACCTGGTGGTGGCAACGTGAGCAGCGCACAGCCTGCTACAAATCTTACTGCTAAATGCCTAACTCCGGATCTTTTCGAAACCTCTCTGGATGCGGAGTTTTGGTATTATGCTGCACAAGCCAATTTTGGTACAATTATCGGAAGCCACGAGGATTTTGGGCCTCACGGTTGTGCCTGCCCTGCTGCCGACGGCGGCCAGTGCTCCACCGATGCCGCGCTGATTCAGGACTTTGCCTTTGCAGGTAGCTTCTTGAAGTCCCCTAAAAATATAGGGCAGGGGACCCCAGAACCCCAAAAGAATGTGCTTGATTCAAGAAAGAAATCAAAAGCCGATGGCATACAAGAGGCCGAGAGCCCAACAAAAAGTGGGATGAGATCCCAGCCCAAAACCGGCCCTTTCGGGCCCCCCGGGTCCTCCCTCTCGCCTCGTTGCTGCCATGGCTGGCTCGACGGCGGCCAGATCTTCACCACCGACGGCATGACCGATTGTGATGCTACTGGGCGGCTGCAGGCTCACTGCGCGGCCGACGACGGCGAGTATCCTACCAGCCAGACTGGCAATGGCAGATGCAAAGACGGTGCGAGATGGACACGTGACCCGATTTGGCTGCACACTGAGGTTCCTCAGGTGATCGAAGGTCAAGCGCTTGACAATGAGGAGCAGAGGCAAGCTTTCAGGGAGACGACATTCGAGCCGTTGCCGGTTCCCGAGAGCAGGCCTATGACCCACGCCAACTTCAAAGAAGCAGAATCCATTTGGCTCAAAGAAGCGGAATCCATTCGGCGGTCGCTAGGTCGAAACCCCGTGTCTGCTTCTGCGAGCACACTGCAGTCGGAGGAGTCCAACGTATCGCTTCCATTTGCGGGCATGCATGCCCAGGCCAAAGCTCCAGTTAGAAGGCCGCGGCACGCGGCTCATCGAAGCGTTCCTTTGTCTGATGAGGATTCCGGCAGGATGTATCCGGTTGAGCATTGCAAGTTTCAATGAGTAGGAGTATGTCGGCTTGGCAATAATCACAGCGCTTCATGCAACGGGCGCAGGAAACAGGGGGGATTCCGCTCGTTCGTCATCTGCGGCGGTGCGTCCGGTTGTTCCGTAGCATTTCCTCCGCATCCTTCGTATCGGTTCGAGGCTTCGGCCACTAGCCAAGCCAAGCAGATGATCTCGCTAAGTTCGCAAAGCCGAAAGCTCGTCTTCGGACGATGCGCGGTCCGTTCGATAGTAGCATGCGTGGAAAGGATAGAAGCTCTAGTTGCCACAAGCAGGAACTTTTCTTTTTGAGCCATGAATGTAGTCTTGCCGCGCGTGTCCGAAATGCGCAAGCACGTGGGCGAGCTTCTTTTGCAAAGGGGCGCTCGCGGTGCAGTCGGCGAGGAGAAGGTGGGGGAGGCAGTCTATCTGCAGATTTTTTCGGAGTCAGTGGCAAGCCCAGACTTAGTTGCTGTAGAGTCATGCACTTCAGGCACGGCTGCTGCTCGACATTGCCCAATACAGCGATGCAGTGATGCTGCGTGTCATCAACGACGTCTACATTTTTTCCGGATCCGCCGACCCCGCATTTATCCTCGGTGTGATAGGCAGAGCACAAGCGCGTCGCGGAAGCCGTGGCCCGCCTTCCAGAAGGCACAGTGTCTTTCGGACCGTGCGCCATGTCAATCGCAGACCAGCTGCATTGCAGGGATTTGGAGACAGTCAGCGATGCAGAGTCGGAGTCGCAGCAGGAGGCTCCTGCGGTCGCGGCATCCGCGCCCAAGAGGCGACGCACTGCGCGGCACGGTGGTCCGCGAGGTCTCCGCCTCAGCCGGGGTCGAGCAGTGGCAGTTCGCAGCTTTTGGAGCAAAGTGGCGACGCAGGTCAGCGTCTTTGCTCAGGCCCGCCGGCACGGCGTCAGCGGTGCGTGCGCTAGCTTCATTATCGCAAGTGTTCTTCGATTAGATAAGCTGTTTCGACTGCGGCTTCGAGGCTGGCTCGAGGCCTCGGCGTCTCGCCGGGTCAAGCAGTTGTTCCTCTGCGTACAATGCATGCACACGGCTCGAAGTATGTAGCGTGTAATCAGGGAGTTAGTGTTCGGTGCTGACAGACACGTTACACGTTTTCGAGCTTCGCAGTCATGCGCACGCGATGGTTGTTTCGTTGAGCTTACAGAGACTCCGTTTTCGTGAAGTTTCCTTACGATTCGAAAAGGTAGGTTTTCGGGTATCCGGCATGGCGTCACACGGTCGTCCTCGGCGGCGGCCTGTGAGGCAACAGCTTCCGGGAGCCCCCATGATGGGAACTGTGAGATCACTTCACAGATCGGAATGGGTGGAGAAGGCTGTGAAGTTCTTTCAGGATAGTTACTATGAAGGCTATTACACCGGAGAGCTGCTCCTCCTGCTGAAGTACCAGATAGAAGCGCAAGGGGATTGGCAGTTTACGGAGCGTTCACTGGGCTACTTGAAAGAAGTTGAAGGTCAAGTGGCAAGTTTTCTTGGGGAGGAGCAATTGTGGAGGCCCCCTCTCTCTTTGGAGTGGGCCGGCCCCATGGTGAGCTCCCTTTACACTCTGCATAGTGAGGAGGGCTTGAACATGACCGACGGGGTGTCTTCCCCGCAAAGGGATGCAGGGGCTCAGGGGATCGTTCCCCCCGCGGATTCGGCGGAATCCCGTGATCTTCCGCACCTCGAGGCGGAGGCGAAAACGACACGGACATCGCCTCCGCCGAAGCCGAGCTCCAAGCCGCTGGACGAGTTGCAGGCATTTCGAGGTTCATCCCGGGATCTGTCGTTCCGACCCTCGTGTACTTCTACCAAACGCAAAGCGGCCCCAGTCCCTTCGACCGCTTGCAGCAGGATTTCGAAGACTTCTTATTCTTCAAGCGATTCTTCTAGATACACGAGTTCTGGCGAAGCAGCAGTTTTCGAGGAGGAAGTTCAACGTCTGGTACAGAACGCAGTAGAGGTTGCTCTCGAGAAAAACCACATGGGAGATGTTGCAGTTTCGATTCAAGTGGAATTGCGTAATTCCATTTCTTGGCGTTTGTACAAGGAAGCCACTTCTTGGAGGCTGCAGAATCATTCGTGTTTGGAGGCTGCGGAGATGTTAGTGGACGCATTGCTGGACCAGTTATCGCGCGTACACAAGGATGATGCCTGGTTCTGCGACCTGGACTTGTGCCCGGCTTTGTGTCAAGTCTGGAAAGCTTTGCATGCGGAGCGACCAGATTACATAGAGACTCAAGTGGAACAGGCCGTCATCGGCAAGTATCTTGAGCGTTTCGAGCAGTTGCTACTGGACAAAGCTATATGGCACTGTTCATTCGTTCATCTCGAGGGGGACACGCAGATGCAGAAGTTGCTCTACAAGGTTTTGTGGAGCAGCCACGAGCTTGCTTTCGCAACGGCAGCCTCGAGGAAGGCGGCGGGCTTGACGCCCGTGGAGCGGGTCGAGTGCTTCACTAGAGAATGGGTGGAGCAGACAATGTACAAGATATGTAGTTGGCCACGCGAAACACAAGAGCGCGCGGCCAGCAAACTGAAGAATGCGTACGGCGTGCTGCAGCTGTTTCGGGAGCTCATGGCGCCTTTCGGGGAGCAGCATCCTTTCTCCTGCGTTCCTGAGATTTTCATCCAGGTCATTGGTCCTCCTGCCAGGACCTGGCCTTTTCTCGAAGAGGTTGTAACACAGTATTTCAGTCGCGGCACCCGCACAGAACGGCGCGCGTTGCAGTGATCGTTATCCTTTTCTTGCTGCATCATCGATCATGCACATGTGTTTTGCATACCAGACACGTCTTCTTGAGGTCGATTCTTAAATGCCTTTCTGCGCGTTTTATTTTCTTTTCTCGGCCACACTCACGTGAGTGAGGCGACTGAGTGGGGCCCAGAGACGCAATGAGGAGCGGTGGCTTGGTTGTGACGAGGTCATGTAACACGGGTCATGGGGGGGGGGGGCAGGGTGGCAATTAAATTGGATTGCCATCAGTAAACTGGGATCGTCGACCGAGGCCTCGGCTTCTGGCCAGGCGAAGTCGAACGTTCGAATTTTTCACGCCGGCACCTCGGTTTTGTTTTTTCCTAGGCTGTTCACTCGCAAGGCACCAGTGAGCTTGCGCAGCGACTTGAATGCAAGCGTCGCCGACATCTTTGTGGCTCAAGAGGGCTAGGTTTCGACACGAACAAGGCGGAAATGGCTGCGGCTTCTGGCCAGGCCAAGCCGAGACTTCTGGCGTTCATTAGCGACGCACATTGCATGTGCATTTGTCGGTTTGTCATTTCATTGCGCAGAGGGCAGCAGCTTCTGTTGCCCTTCTTGCAGCTGGCGCGGTGTGAGCTCAAGCGATTCTTCGATGGCAGAAAAGGCTTCGGCTTTTGCTGAGCCCAAGCCGAGACTTCTGGCGATCATTAGCTACGGACCTCGCCAGTGCACTTTGTTTTTTGCGCAACGGATTGCTTTTTGTGAATTCAACAGAGGCAAGGTCACGGCAGCAGACAATCCTGGGGTCTCGGCTTCAAGCAGAGTCTCTCGTCTTCTTTCAGTGATATGCATCGCGAGTCGCATGCGGCGTATCTGTCGCTTGCTGTTAGCAAAGTGATTCTTTCGCCGTGCCAGTCCCGGTATGTCCATTCCGCCTGAGGTAGGGTCATGCGTCCAAGCGAGAGTCCGTTTGGGCACAGGGTTTACGAGTGGCAGAGCTGGCGCAGCAGGCCGAACTGGTCGGCCGAGCCCGCATGTTGTTTGTTATGCGAAGAGGTTTCACGATCCCTGGACCATTTGTGGTGCATGTTACAATGCCTGCTGGCTCCATTACGAGAGCGAGCTCGGCGACAAACCTGCCAGTCTCGTTTTCGCTTTCCTCCAACCGGAAGAGCCACCCGAAGATGCTTGGGTATAGGAGTGACCAGGCTGAACGCAATGCAGGATCCGCAGATTAGGTGTTTGCCTCTTAGGCATCCAACGAGGCTGCTATTCTTGCGCTAGTTGGCTTGTTGGCCGCTGCGAGGTTCAGATGGCGGAAAGGGCTGCGGCTTCTGCGGCCAGGCCAAGCCGAGACTTCTGGCGTTCATTAGTGACACACCTCGCAAGTGCATCGGTTTTCGTTTTTTTTACGCAGAGGGCACCATCTTCCGCTGCCGTTCGTGCGGCTGGCGCGGTGGGAGCCGAGGCATTTCTTCGATGGCACAAAATGCTTCGGCATCTGGCCAGACCAAGCTGAGTTTCTCGTCTTCCTTCGGCGAGATGTATCGCGACTCGCGTGCGGTGTGTAGGCGATCTGCACTTCGCAAAGTGATTCTTCCGCCGTGGCAGTCCCGGCATGCCCATTTCGGCTGAGGCAGGGTCATGTGTTCGACCGAGACTCCGTTCGGAACGGGGTTGACGAGTCGCGGAGCTGCCGCAGCAAGTCGAACCGGTCGGCCAGCCCGCATGCTGTTTGTTATGCAAGAGTTTTTGGATGTTTCACGATCCCCCCCACTATTTGTGGTACACGTTAGAAGTTCTGCTGGCTCCGTTACGAGAGCGAGCTCGGCAGCAGACCCGGCAGTCCCCCTTTTGTGTTTCCTCCGACCGGAAGAGCCATCCGAAGATGCTTGGGTACATGACAAATCTGAATGCAACGCAGGACTCGCAGATTGGGTGTTTAGTTGCCGTTCGATCCAGGCAGATCTTGCGGAAGCGGCTCATGTCGGAAATTCGGTGTTGCGCTCTTTTCGGTACTCAGGCTGCAGTCGGCTACGGCAGGTAGCAGCTGTTCATATACGCCACGATACGTCTTCCGTCGCCGAGCGTTAGGCGGCTCAGATTCGGATTTCTCGACCTTGCCATGCCGGCCCAGCGGCGGGCGCAGAGAGCCTCGTTTTATTCAGTTTGTTCTTGTGTCATTTGCACGTAGGGTCGTTAGACGGCTTGAGTCACGTCGAACAGTTTATTCAGGTTGCCCCTGCGTGCGCTAGGCCGCATCGCAGCCGAGGCAAGGCTATTATGCCGGCAGGAAGATCTCCTGGCGCCTCGGCCACTGGCCAAGCCAAGCCGAGACGCCTGTCTTTTTTCGAGAAAGATGTCATTTCATCGAGGAGATGCCGTTGCGAACCAGCGCATCCGTCGTCGGTTCAGGACTTTTGTTAGTCGGCGCTCGAGGCTTCATCGGCAAGTTGCAACTCAACCGAGGCAAGCTCCCGGCTGTCGCCAAGCTTCGGGCTTCGGCTTCTGGCCAGGTCAAGCGGAGATTCTCGTCCCCGTTTAAAGATACGTTTCGGGACGAACAGTGATACTCTTGGGCACCGTTTGGCAGCCTTGTCAGTCAAGCTGAGGCCAAGTCGCGACGGTTCCACGACGGGTGAGAGCCAAGACGCCCGCTTGCGGAGTCAAGAAGGAGATTCGAGCTTCGAGAAACCACGAGAGAACGAGGGCCCCGTCGACGCGGCGGGGGCAAGTCGCGTGAAGAAGCAGAAAGGCGTCCGAGTCAAGCTAGACTTGAAGGAGTCGAAGATGGCAAGAAGAAGAAGGTTTACCGGCGTCTTGTGGAGAGGGACATTCGTCGAATGCAGCTTCGCAAAGGACCAATGATCGCCAAGTCCCGGTTTGGCAATCTCGTCCGAGAGACTCTGTGTCGTCTCCGCAAAGAAAACGGCATGGATCTATGTGAACTCAGAATCGGGGGTGAGGCATTGGAAAAGCTTCAGCTGAGGTTGCATTGCTGCACTTATAGAGTCGGCAATCATGCGGACACAACGGATTCACTCTTTAACCTGCGAGGCTCTCATGACCAACTTTATCGAAGCGCGACACAAGCTCAGAACAAAGTCGGCACTCAGAGCCATCGCAGAGATTCTGCCCGAAGACTTGCGGCAGGTACTTTTGTCCAAAAAGTGACTCAGTCTGTACTTATCAAGCTATTTCCACTAACATCATCGAGATCTCTGTGATGCCGGGGTTAATAACCGCGGAGACACTCGTTGCTGCTCGAACTTCTGATTAGGGCAGCTGGAAGAAGTCCGCACAACTACTATTTGCTTAAGAACCACCAAAAAATAAAAGATTATAATCCCTATATTATCCCTATAAAGAC